GCTGATGGTCAACTTCACTCAAATGACCGAGTTTTACCATAACTGCCGCACCATCTGTCGATATACATACAATATCATTTGCTAAGTTGAGATTAAATTCTTGTAACTTTGTTTTTAAAATCTCTAAACACTTTTCAGTTGGCACTTTTCCATGTAAACGGGCTAGTCCAATGTTCCATATTAGTCCTCCAGTAGAATGTACATTTATATTCAAATACCTTCGATTTCGAACCGAAGTCCATTCATCGAATGTTAAGCTAAACCGTTTACCACTCGATTTTAGACCAGTAATTTCTTTAATGACTTCTGTTTTTATTTTCTTGCTATATTCAGCGACCATATTTTTTATTGTTGCAGCTGATTTAGGTAAGTCAGTATATCCCCTTGCTTGTAACCCTTTTCTTATATCTTCCGATGTGCAAAAAATTCTAAATGGTAGTCCATCACGCGCAACCATACGAGCCAAAATTTCACATAGCTGTTCCTTCTTCTGGTTTTGAAAATAATAATTTAATGTTTTCGGTAGCTTTGGACTAGAACAACCCGCATCACTATCATTATCTGCTATTTCCTCCCTTTTAGTTTTTAAAATTATGTTATGTCGTTTCAAGTGCGCGTGAAGACCACTTGTGGATCCTCCCTGACATTTAATTTCGCTTGTACATTTTTTACATTTTGCTACTTGTCCTTGTTTGGCAACTAAATAATAATGCCACACAGAATTCACCTCGTTTCCTTTCTTATGTTCTTGAAATATATTGGTTTCTGAATTCATACTTTTGATTAAAAAACAATTGTTTTAAAATAATTTTTCACAAGCACGAAGTAAACAAACTTTCCTAAAACTACTTAAAACTTCACTTATTGGAAAAACACTCCGCACTGAATTAAAAAAATATATTTTCAAATAATTAATTTAGTCAATTTATAATTTTGCACAAGCACAAATTTATCAAACTTCACTCCAAAATTGTATCTACGTGTTGAAAAATAACTTTGCACTGAACTACTAATTTCTATTCTAAAACAATTATTTCACTAAATTAATATAACTAAACAACTTTCGATCTCAATTGGTATCTACGTACTGACAAAACACTTTGCAATGAACAAATGGCTGTGGAGTTGTATTAGACGATATTTCAATTGGCACTCTAGTAACTTCCACAAAGAAAAATAATTCCCCAAATTAATGCCTAAAGAAAATAGTAGTTCTCCGAATAAATTTAAATAAGTAAATACACTAAAAAAATAATGTTTCTCCGAGTTACTATATAACTAGTGCTAGAAGAGTCGAGACAAATTATCGATATCGAGTGCTGAAAAAATAATCGTTGCTAAAATAACAGTAACAAAAGTATTAAAACTACTCAATATTGACTATTGAGTACTTTTTATCAAAATCAATATTTTACACAAATTATTTTGATACTAAATTAATATACGAAACTTTATTTAAAACAATATAATGATCCTATACTATTCTCAAAATGCGACACTTTGTACGTGAAATATATTTAATTTTTTTTTTAATTTTCAGGATTAAATTACAATCTGTTTTTTAATAAAAATACTTTCGATAATCATGATTAGCATGTATTAAGTTAGTATGTATTACCCACTAGTAAGCCCATGCCACTTTAAAAATCCGATACATTTTTATATAAGATAAAATAACATCATTATTGATTAGTCCGTTCTATTTATTGAAATACGATATGAAGTCCTTTGAAAAGCAATAAATATTCAGTTTAATGACGAGTCGAGATAATATTTTGACACATGTTTATATAACACAACAGCGTGAAGTGATATTTCTTGTCAGCGATCATGGGATTTAAAACATGTACATATGTATCATGTATCCACAAGCGCAATGTAAAAATATCGAAAATACCGGTATTTTAAAGTTATTTACCGGTAAAAATACCGTCGAAAAATTAAGCGGTTTACCGGTAATTCGGTATACCGGTAAACCGGTATTGCATTCCCTAATATAAACATTATGACTTACGAGCTATGTACATCTATCATATTGATAACAATACATTAAATTAAATTATGTTTGTAAATTCTATACACATTATACTTATATACATTAAAGATTTCAAAATAGACTAAATTTAATTTTAAATTTTGGTAAAAAATGTCAACAAAAAACCAACTCTTTATAATATTAAGGACAAACACAAACACAAAAGTTAATAAGTAACTATGTCACAATAATAAAATAGAAACAATATTTCTTTCATAGCTAACTAAGTAATATTAATTATTTCTTTGACTATTATCTATTGGGTTATTAATGGAGGAAGGTATTTTGTATTTGCAGTAGCATGGCCTATAAGTATTTATGCTTCCAATGTTATTTATGGTAGGGTTCTGATTAGTTAAACATGTAGTATAGTACTTTTTTGAAATACCGTCAATGTAGGTTTTTATGTAAGGTATATTTGTGGCTTCATGAAGAAATGTAGTACTTATATAATGTTTTGTACTTGGGTTTCTTGATTGTCCTATAATCATCCTTGCAGCAGTATTTTGTAGTTTTTGTAACTTGTCTAGATTCTGATTATTTGTCATACACCAGATTGGGCATCCATATGTTAAGATTGGTCTTATCATAGTCAGGTATAACGTTCTTTTATTTTCTACATTAAGACAGCTTCTGAATTTCATTAATGGGTTTAGCATGTACAAAATCTTTTTAGCTTGGTTAATTTTATTTTTTATGTGTACATTGAAATTAAATTTTCTGTCCAACGACAGTCCCAAGTATTTAACTTCATTATTCCATGGTATTACAATATCATGCACTTGAAGTGTTAGCGATGGTATTGGATTTTTTCGTCTTTTGGTAAAGAAAATTGATTCAGTTTTGTCATAGTTTATTTTAATTTTCCATTTATGTGCATATTTTAAAATTTTATCCAGTTGATTTTGGAGCCGCATAATAATTGAATTTTCAGATATACCTGAAGAAAAAATTGCGATATCATCCGCAAACATTAATAGTTTGATGTCATTATTATTTGGAATATCAGAGACAAAGATAGAATATAATATAGGACCCAGTATACTACCTTGTGGTACCCCTGCAGTAACATGTCTATTGGTAGATTTATTGTTATATAAACTAACATAAAACATTCTATTGCAGAGATAACTCTTAATAATGTTGATTAGATAATTTGGAAACTTCAATTGTATCATTTTGAATAACAGACCACTAATCCATACTGTATCGAATGCCTTTTCAATGTCCAGCATTACCATTGCACTATTTCTCCTTTGATTGAATTTGAGAATAGTTTCTTCTGTAATTATTGATAACGGATGGAGAGTAGAATGTTTTTCTCTAAACCCATATTGAAAATTTGGTATTATTTTATTTTCCAATATAAACTTATTAATTCTAATGTGAATTACCTTCTCAACTATTTTACTTAAGTGGCTTAGCAGGCTAATCGGCCTGTAGCTGGTGGGTAGATCACTGTCCTTGTTGGGTTTCTTTACAGGTATGACATTAGAAGTTTTCCATATGGATGGAAAATAGTTAAGTTGTAATATACTATTTACTATTTTGGTTATTAGGATTATAGTTTTCTTGCCTACATTTTTAAGTACAATATTTGGTATACCATCCGGGCCTGGAGCGCTTTTATTTTTTCTTCGTTGAATAATATTTTTAATTTCTTTTGGCGTAGTATATTTAATTATGAGGTGATCTTGAGGGTTTAAAAGTGTTGAGTTTATTTTTGCATTGACATAATCTGTAAATTCAGAATTTCCCAGTCCATCGATATTCGCCTTGTCTTCATTATTTGATACGTAATTCGAGTTTAGTTTCAGACAGGGAATGCTTTCTTGTTTCTTAGTAAATTTTTTAGCAAAATACCATACATTGTTTGGATTAACATTAATATTATTAAGCTTGGCATTCCACATTTTATTTTTGTGTTCATTAATTTTAATTGAAATATCTTTGGTTAATTTGTTCAACAACATTTTAACGGCAGGATTACCTGTTTTTTGCCACATTTTTCTAATTTTATTCTTATATTTAATTTGTTCGAGTATATAGGTAGGTATTGATAAGTAGTTATTCTTATCAATTTTAGGTATAAATTTGTTCATAGCCATTTGTATGTTATCTGTAAGTTGTTGAACCGATACCTCTAATTGTTCAGTATTATTGATATGTTTGCCAAAAGTAATGTTTTTATTTACGTACGATCTAAAACCTTTCCAGTTTGCCTCTTTGTAATTGTATTTTATGTTACTTGGTTCTGGTGTATTTAATGAAGCAGCTGTACTACAAACTTGATTTTTGCTGTTTTGATATGGAATTGGAAGAATAACTGGGTTATGGTCCGAATTTGTCTCTGAGATAGTGTATGGTAAATAATTGGTATATATGTTGTTAGTAATCGCAAGATCAATGATTGAAGGTGTTTGTAAGTGATTAACTGGATATCTAGTAGGGGAGGATGTGTAATGCAAAGTATAATTATTTATGTTGTTAATCAGGAAATCGAATAGTTTTCTACCATTTAAATTATTATTACTGCAATTCCAATATTCATGTCTTGAATTAAAATCTCCCGCTATTAAAATTTTACTGTTTAAATTAAGTAATGATACTAAATCCCGGATATCTAACTTGTTACATGGGAAGTATACAGAACAGAACGTTATCAATTGATTATTCATTTGGATGTTTACTGCAATTGCTTCTGCGGTAATCAATTTTGCAATATGAATTTGTGAAAATTTAATATTATTTTTAATAACTATACATATACCTCTTGAGCCTATATAGGTAATGTCTTTTCTAATTATTTTATATCCAGGTATATAAATTTTATTATTAGGTTTAAGTAAAGTTTCAGATATTAATACAATATCTATATTATGATGATTTAAACAATTTAATATTTCATATACGTTATTTTGAATACCGTTAGCATTCCAGTACATTACATTAAAAGTATTTTTGTTTATATGCATAATGACATAAAACATTGAAATACCAATAATTGTTTTTCTTTATCTGTGTTACATTTTTTGATTTCTTTGGACAATTTAAGTAGTACATTTAAAGTTTTGACAACTGTGCTATCTGTAAATAGTTCATGAATTTCATTAATGTTTTCAAATATGCTACTAATGTTAGTTTCTGAGTTTTGAACAGGATAATGAGATTTGGCAGATACAGGTGTTTGTCTAGATGAATTTTGCGTATTCATTATATTAGTAGTCGTATTAGTATTGGGAAGATTAGGAAAGTTATTTCTGTTTAATGATTCTGAGAAGGATTTTGTTAATGGAGGAGGAGCCGGAGCAGGAATTAAATTACCTTTATTATTATTGTTATTGTTTATGCCACGCCTAGCACAATATCTTTGGAAAGTTTCACAGAGCTTATAATTAGCCGGGTGGTCTTTAAAACAATTTACACATTCAGGTTTATCTTCTGCTGTTTTTCCACATTTTCCAGGAGCATGTTCCTTGGTACATTTTACACATTGAAATTTCATATTACAAAATGGTGAAGTGTGTCCATGCTTTTGGCATCTATAACATTGTGGTACATGATGTGGATTGTATATCAGGCGTTCCCATGTTACCTTGTGTCCCATTATATGATTTAGAGATTTAATTTCATTCAATTCTTGGTCGGGTTGTAGTATTATTATGTGGACTGGGAGACCATATTTAATGTTATTAATTGATTTAGTCATCTGTATTATTTTGGTGACTTTTATTGTTTTGTTTGTCAAATATTCATATATTTCTTGTGTATTAATGTATGGTGGAATACCCTTTGCAACTATCTTCTTCTTGGTATTACCAGTTTTTGGATAAGTAAAATATTGAATCTCGTCGGCATTTAATTTTTTTAAGACCGTATTGTAATCCTCATCACTAGTTGTTGTAATTAAGTAGTTATTAATACCTCGATATTGAGATAGCATTTGAGTCTTACATAACTTTTGTAGTTCCCATATATAGTGACGGTTAGGTGGTGTACTTTTGATTATAATTGGTGGCATTTTAACTTGGTTTTGATGAATATCTGATACATGATTTGTATTATTTGCACCATTATTTCTTGACTTTCGTTTTTGAATTAGGTTAAAATCTTCTTCTGGTCCTGTAGTATTATGTAATAATTGATTGAATATGTTATGGTCCGCAAAAACCATATTATTGTCATTTACATTGTGTACATTACTGTGCATTTGATTATCTGAAGATGTTGATGGTTCACTTATATCCATGTCATGAATTGTTTCTGTAGTTGAATTATTATTATTCCTCACATTTACACTGGTGCAATTTATGTTTGAAGAATCGTTAGTTATTTCAGCAGGTATAACTGTTTCATTTTCCATCATTTCATTCAAGTTTTTACATGTATTATCTGTATTAGTATTATTTATATTATTTGTTATCTTGGTATTTTCTTGATTTATGATAGTATTTATCAGTATTTGTGAATTAACTTTTTTCACACTATCTGACATACCATTCTTGTTAACTTTGCTTTTACTGACAACACCTTTTTTAACACTAAGTGATTTGCTCACTAATTCATTGTTTTTGTTGTTAATAATTTTATTAGCATCACTATTCACTGCAATTGTACGTGTATTTTGTGGAAATACATAGTGCTGATCATTATAAATTGTGTTCATAGCATTTGCAATGCTTGAACCCAAATCGTATAATGTTTTATCACTACCATCCGACAATGAGTCATCATCGTCGCACTCTGACGGACCTTCGTCCATGAAAATTAATTGTTTCCAATACCGATGTGAACTCGTCGAGCGATCGAGTAGGAATCAGCAACAAAAGTAGCTAAAGCAGTTTTGTCAAACTGGTGTTCACGTTGAACATCGCTGTTCATGATATCTACTGCTGCTCGGCTCGGTGCTGACATGCCAAATTGAATTAGCGACATGTTCGAAATTTGGATACAAATATCTTCAATCATTATTAAGTCTTCGTTATATATTTGTTCTGAAAATTCATGATTATTATCTTGATTATCAATTTTATACCGATGCAAAATATCCTCACTCATTGGGTCTTTATGTGTATTCCACAGTGCAGATGCATTTGATGGAAAACATGTTGTTAATATTATTGCAAATAATTGTTGAATTTTTGATGTGCAGATGAAATCAGTGCTGCATCTGCAAGAGTCATGTCCCATTGATTTATCATTCTCCAATAAGTGCAACTCACGGCACGCATCATAAAAAGTTTCATATAAAATTCCATTGACTGTCCTCAAATTTTGGAATGATCTTGGTCCTATACAATCTACCCAAATTGTTTGTCATATATATGCCTTCGAATCCTGAAACAGGAATACCTCGTTTTCTAGGTACCCAATCTTTTAATTTTTTATTCCATGTAAAATATTTAGGTGTATCTGTATATAATAATGTTCTAGCAAATCTTCCAGCAATATCTGATCTATTACAAAGTTTAAAAAATACAGTTAGAGTAGTCTTCGGAGCAGTCAAGGCTTGTTGTAATATATTGTTTTCTGTAAAGTATACCCGCTGACCGTTCTTCAAATGCACAGCCAAATGTACCACAGATCGATTCCTTTCATGTATGGAAAAACCAAAAATACGCCAGATAGCTTCATTGCTGCTGACGTATCTCTACCCATTTGATATCGAGTTATTTCATCATTCTCATTAATACTTTTAATTGCAAATATCGCTTTGTCGCTCCCTTTATGAACATATTTGCATATGTATTTTATTGACTTCACCGAGCTGCACAGTTTGGCATTTATATGTGCTTTATAGGTTTTGCATAGCAATAGCAAATAAGGAACTACCCATCGATTATCAACATCTATTACCCCGGCATTCGACAGTCGCAATTCAAAACATTGTCCACCATTGTCAACGTCACGTCGCCGATAAGCGGGATAACCATCAATGTCGGTGATAGTATCGTTTTGAAATGATTTTGGAAAATGTTTTGTACATTTTCCATTCACCGTGCATGGTGACAAAATAATGAGAGTACCGCATGGACCATGTATCATGTTAGTAGTTATAATATCGAACAATTCCTCATCAACATTTTTATTAGGAATTTCTGCTGAGATAATATTGTCAATCTCTACAGAATGTACCTTATCAATTAACCACAACAAAATATGTGCATGGGGTAAACCTCTTTTCTGCCATTCTACTGAGTATAATCAACAGCGTGTTTCACCAAAAACAGATTGATGCGTTATCAAATTCATCAATTATTTAAACTTCTGTTTAAAAACTCGTGCAGTTGTATCATGCCTATCCATCGCTGTTTGTCCCGGCATCAGCAATTTTTTTATTTCATCCCATTTGGGATTGCACGTAAAGGTAATGAACAGGTCTGCCATATGCACGAACATAAGCCATAGCATCTTGAATGTACTCCTGCATATGTCGCGGACTTCCAATATAAGAAGATGGAAGAATATATGCAGTACCAATATGACTAATATCATTCATTGCATCTACATTACCAAGTACTGCATCACGCAAATGTATATGTTCCTCGGCGCGGAGTTTGGCTTGATTAAACTTTATGAATGTTATTTTCTTCATTAGCTCGAATCATTGATCGGTAGCAGTAAAAGTCCATGGCACTTACTTTTTCGGCAAGTTCTGCACATGGAATAAACTATATTAAAATTATTTTAATTATTATTATTTGATTTTTTTTTTTAAAAATAAGATTTTTACGTGTATTTGGATCCCTTTGTTTAATATTTAAATGGTACCCATCTTCACCTTTCCAAAATATCAATGCTTACTGCAAAGCATCATAAGAACGATGACTGTCCTGTATTATCTGCATGGTATTATCTCTCCGTTGTATACGTATATCACGCCCCTCACATAGATCACCAGCTATTACGACCGCGACTTCATTGACTGTTGGAACATTATATGCGCCAGCATGTTCTCCAACCGGCACTTTGTCTGCTCTAATAATAATAGCGTAATCATCGTTTTCTAGTCTACTTGAAAGAGTCTTAAAAAAATGCAACAACTGGTTATAGTTTTTAAAAAATATTTCTAAAGAGTTCACAATATCTCTTTCCTTCTAAGCTGTATGTGATTAAATTCGCATCGCATGTTTGTTTGTCGTTCATCATCGCCCATAAAATAAATCTGCAAGAATTTCGGATTCACATCAGGCATGGGAAACAATGAACCGATTTGGTGGTAAACTTGACCTTGTATCTTAAATGTTGATTCGAAATTTCGACAATCTTCATTTTCAAATACTTTCGTAGCACCAAATGACGTCATCTGAAAACATGAATTAAATTTGCAAATTTTTTCAGTAATATTTTTGATTGATACGTTGTTCCATCTAGTAGAGTTTTTAAAGATTCCGGTGGTGTTGTTAATTTTGTCAATATAATTTTCCCTGATGCGCAAGATAAACCTGCTGATTCTCCTTTGAATTTTAGAGCATGGCAATGTTTACATGCTTTGTCCATATTACCAATGGTTATTAAAGAGTGTGATGAATAATCAATTTCAGGATCATAATTAAACGCCAGGTGCAAAAGTGATGCACGTACCAATGCTCTGTGATTATTAACTCGTCGTTGATTATTTTCTCTAATGGCGGCGGTCGCACCTCGTTGCACCTCTCGATTTCTTAATGCCATGTCTCTCTAAACTTTCATTGGCACGTGTATTTCCTACTTGCTCTCTCAAATTCATATTGTCCATCATATGTTGTTCATGGGTCCTATTCAATCTTCGTTCATAGATTGCTCGAGCTTGCCGAGTACGTCTTCCAAAATTACTTGCTCCTCTGCGAATTCGTGGCATCGTGGCACGATAAAAAAAAGCCTGAATATTATAACCCGCTGGATAATGTGAATCACTTAATCTCACTCTCAAATTCTACTAAAACTATAACTGAAAAATACCAATATCTTCCACTAATACTGTATTATAACTGATTATTATTAAACCGCTTATTTAAACTATCATTCTCACATTACACATCAAAAACAAATTATATTTATCGCCAATTAATCAAGATAACATAGACTATCCTGGACTCTACTTTCCCGTACATAGCCACATCCTATCAAGTTAACAGGGATAAGACACTCTTAGCGGGCGCAGAGACATCTATGGAACTAACTCGCTTTGATAATTTTATGATATTTAGTTTTAAAAAAAAATCTAGTTGTACATGGTTGTATATTTTTTTTCTTAGAAATATTAACACAAAATTGAGCACAATATGGACATGATTTTTAATAAATAATGCTCAAGAGCGTTGACATTAACATTCAATAATTACATTTAATTCATTATATTTCATATTCATTATATTTATCTCATTCTTTTCTTTCAGTTCTATAGGTTAATGTTTGTATAAATATCGTAATATGTAAGTGTTATCAACATTTAAATTCGAATTATAAGTAAATTGATATTTCTTCAACTGTCATATCTCTAAATGAATATATCTATAGATAAAAGAGTATATGAATATATCATAGGTTTCCTCTCAATTCTCAAACTGATTGTGATTTTCTTTACCTATGCTGCGACTGCATAGTGCAATGAATAAGATTCGTATGGTTAGTTTAAGTTGTTGATCTTGAGTCAACGCATTCAATATTTAATGACTAACTTTCTATAATATTCAATTAAACATTAAGTATAATAAATAAAACATAATGAGTGACAAAGAATTGTTTCATGATTTTTTTTAAGAACGATTACCATCAGTTACATTTGTTACAGTTTGTTAAAGCTAAAAAAAATAATGTCTTGGTATGTAAAATACCCATTTATTAATAAAAAGTTTTAATATAGTACTTAATTCGTCAAGCACAATTTTATTTATAATCAATTTATGTAAAACTATAATGTGATTTTGACAGAAAAAATGGTGCCATTGTATGAATAGATACAATTTCTGGAAGACTTTAGAATTAGCAGAACATCTCTAGCTAAGTGCAAGATATCACAAACATACGAAGACGGTGAATATTAAAATAGAAATAAATATGACGCAACAGTTTAGTAAAATAAGAGCATATCTGCATCAGGAAAATAAATGAATTTTATTGCTTAACCAAAACAAATCACCATTAATTATAATTTTAGGTACTAATATTTTCATAGGTTTGTGGGACATCAAACTGACAGCTATAGAGATTTTAGTGATTAGTGCATTGATGGTATTCTGAGTTTCATGTTTAAAAAAAACTCCGGTTGCTCGCCCGAAAGTTGCAACCGTGTCATTATGTAAAAATTTTTTAAAAGGAAAGAAGAAGAATTTTCAATACTGCGTTTTGTACAATTGATAAAGGGTAATAATGATGTTCTTACAATATGGACAACGTATATGTGTATTCAAATTTCGCGCGGGGCTTATCTTTGCAATACAGAATGAAGTATGCTATGCTACTATGCGATTAGGCTTATTGTGTTTATGTACGTCCTGTTCCATATTGTATTTCAAGCAGACCACATCCAGCTAATAAAATTATATTATATTTTAAATTGTGTTTTGGTTAATGTTATTATTTATTTTCTTTATTACCATAAAATTGGTCCATCTCACGGATATATAAATCAGTGCACATTTAGTAGTACTATAACCAAAAATACACATACAAGTTTTGTTTATGCTGTACATGTGGGTCGACAACCTGGAAATATACATTCTTGGATTCAAGTTAGGTGAATATTAAAAACACTGCTTAATTATGATCTGGAACATCATT